GATAGCTTTTGCTACTGAGGCACTTGCCTTCTCCTAGACAAACAATGATCCGGAGAGTTGGTTGGTGTGTGTGTGTGTGTGTGTGTGTGTGTGTGTGTGTGTAAGAAATAATGCTAGTTTCCACCAGTTTATTTTATCAATCTCTCGCACCTGGAACGTCATTTAGAGACATAGCCATTTCATGCGGATAATGCCTAATAATTAACAATTGTTTTACACTAGTGTATTCGATAAAATGTCAACAGTACTAGGAGTTCAAGGTCGAACAAGAACGCATGCACATGACCTTCAAAGCACGGATGATTGGGATAGGTCTTATGCATGTTAATAAAAGATATTTATCCGGCTAATACCCGCTTTGATTGATCATCCGGTCGTAAGACAAAAAGCAAACGACAGAAAATGCTCACTTTCATGATAGATTTAAAGTGTTACGGTGGGTAATGATGTCTATGGATATTCATGAATTCTGCTTATGTTCTGCCCCTTGTCATATGCGCTCAGTTGTTAAAGATTGCCATCATCATCTCTGACAGTGTTGTTGTTGTTGTTGTTGTTGTTGTTATTGTTAGTGGTGGTGGTGGTGATGATGTTGCTGGTGGTGGTGGTGGTGGCAAGTACAGATGCGTAGTTGGCGAGGTAAACGTGAGTATATTTACTGCAACTTTCGGTGCACTACGGTGGAAATCACTTTCACCCAAATCCTTTTCAGACGGTCAATGAGAACGAATCGGCCCTCCGTCAATGTTGTGGTAAAGCTTATCGGTAACACAAGCTAATTGTACCAAATACATAACTCAGACAACGCACTTGATTCTCTTCGGGTGAAATGAATTTAATCAATTATCTCTCTTCCCCCTCCCCCGGACCTTCGTCCCCAAATGATACTTTCGTTCCATTTTCTCTTGTCAATTTGTTTTTATCGTCATGTGAATTGAATGGTTTGAGAGGTAAATCGCCGAGAACATACACGTTCATCTACAACTGATGGTCTATAGAATTGATCTGTTCTGCACTGTAACGAACTTTCCGTGAGGAGGCTTGTGTCACAATCGGGTGTCGGGTAAATGCGAAAGCATCAGTGTGAAGAAGAAGTTCAGTATGAAAAAAAAACAGGTTGAGAGGAACAAGTGTTAGGAACACACAATGAGACTAGTTTGAGGAAGTGAGAATGACATGGAACGGATAACTGAGGGAGAAAACGTTCAGACACGGAGTGTAAACGAAGTTGCCAAACCACTACGAGCAGTCATACTAGAATAATGTGTGAAAGTTATACTGCAAAGAGTGGACATATGAAGGATGGTAGCTTTATCACGAGCAGAGCAACGAGAGAAACAGTCACCAATAGGCTCCGTTTTGATCACATGAAAGTTAGTTTGATATTTTTACTTCAAATGGGATAGGCCCGAATAATCTCAGTAGCAGTCATTCGAATACTGAGTAAGTGCTGACAATTTGTTTTCGTATTGGACTATATTTTTTGCTACAGTAAAAGTATATTTACTGAACGTTCTTTCCAGGAGCGAATAACCCTGAGAAGCGTACAAATTTGGTAGGGTTTCCTCACGATACTTCCTTCCCCTTTCGGGGTGACGGAGCATTATGTTCACCAATGCTTAGATAATAAATAATTAATAAATAAATGTCTCTTTATTTTTTTTAAATTTTATTGAATATACAAATGTACAGTCCACATTCAGGAATTGAGAATTAGGAAAGACGGGGGCGGGCGGTAGAGCGGTTCGAACCCGGGACCTGTAGGTCACAAGTTGGTGACCTAAGCACTTGACCACAAACATCTACCTCGTGAATAAAATGTCTAGTAGGGGGTGTTCAGTCGCACTGTAGGTCAGAATCAAATAGTGCTGCCGTTCTTGTGTTCGAAACCCACTTATATCAATCACTCAGTTTCCCACATTTGTATATTCCTAGCCAGTAATTTTTTTTTTGAAATTGGACTGCATCATTTTATCACATGACGAAGTCCGTTCGATACATAAAAAGGAAAGTAAAATGGTGTTGATCTTAAAATTGCTAATCAGTAGACTGGACCGAGTATAACACCGTTCTGTTTGGCGCCCAGTGTATGGCCAAAGCAGTTAGAAGCAGCGTAGCACTGTGTCACACTGAATATTTTTAAACCGCTTTCTCTTTGTGAGCAGAATCAAAAAGCTTCTCTGAGAACAAGAAAACCCAGAGCCTATTCTCACAGAAACCAGTAGCGGTGTGCACGATCTGCATGATCTCAAGTTTACATGTCTATGACCTTAATTCTATAAAATGACCTGCTCCGATTGGAGGCTCATTGTTAACGATTGTCAGTGAAACAATAATAATCCTGATTCTCTTTTGCATTGATTAGACACCTATAAAACCACATTTTTAGAAAGAGGGAAACAGTCTCTGAAAGATGACAATGTACATGAAATGTTCAACAAGATGTTTGCACACTTTTTAGAGTGGCAAGCTTGAATTAGCCCATTCGTTTGTTAAGAGGTACGAGAAACTCTTGATGTTGTTCTTGGGTGTGGGTTTCACTCCCTTGGAAGATTGTCAATTCCCCACAATTTCATGCATTTACATTTACATGCGATGTAAATGTTTGTGATGATCAATAAAGAGCACTGGACAACTGTTTCGTCCTGAGCACAAATTGAATATGCCACGAACAACCGAATGCTTAATTTTCCTCTCAAGTGTAAACGCGCATCATCATTATCAATTGCCATGGCCAAGTCATTTCGAATCTCCCACAGGACTACTACAATGGAATTAGTTTTTGTGTGTGTGTTTGTGATTGTGTGCGTGTGCGTGTGCGTGTGCGTGTGTGCATCGACAAGCGGACATTCGATCCTTGCATTCTGTGTCTAACAAAGCCACTAATGCTAAATGTCTATTGAGGTCTATTCACAAAGCATTTTGTCATGGCAACCAGCCGGGAAAGTTTGACACGCAAATCAAGGCAGCGTCCCCCGTGACTCAGTCAGTCAGACCTCATGACTGACCGACCCAGTAAAAACCACAATGCGAAGAGCGGAGCGGGGAGCGGGGGGGCAGGCAAGCACTTGTGTGACCTGAAATTCGGACAAAATCATCATCAATGTGGCAGAAAGATCGGCCACGTGACGGGAACACACGAGATCTGGCTAGCGCTGTGTCCGATGACCTCTTACCATCGTATAAGATGAAAACTGTTTCATCCAATCTCTACCCGGGGTAAGTTACACGCTCGGAAAACTGACCGAGTTTCGGTGGAACTCTCCGCTTTTACAGTACCATTCATGAATGAAACGCGACTAAAAATTTGCGGTCCTGGTTCAGAAATCGTTTTTTCTGACACTCAAACTGTACAGTGTAGTTCCTTGGTTTCTATTGTATTGTATTGACTTCTGCAATTAAATTATGCCTACATTTCAGTCCAAAAATATGTTAACCGTTACATGTGAATAAGAAAAATGAAAGTCATGTACGGCAATGATAAAAACTGAAACAAAAGATTTTAGAGTAGCAGGATTGGATTAGCCCATTCGATCGTTCAGAGGTACCAGACACTCTTGATGTTCTTGGGTGTGGGTTTCACTTCCTGGGAGATCGTCAATTGCCCACAATTTCATGCATTTTCATTTACTGCTGACGAGTCCCGAACAGGATGAAAGAGCTGTCCAGTGCTCTTTGTTGGTTATCACAAACATTTCTATCGCATGAAACAAAGGATATTTTTTGTAGATTTGAAATTAATTTGTTTAGGATCTTCTTCTTGTCAATTAGAATTCGGGCCAAATAGAGTGATCAACCCCCATAGATTACGTTGTTTGGGGCATGTGTTACGCATGCCACCAGATAAGTTGCCACGGCGAGCGATGTTCGCCGAGGCAATTAGTGGGTGGAAGCAAGTCAAGGGTGATCAAGCTAAAACCTGGCAAAACAAGCTCATTGGTCATCCGGGCCTCTGCCAATTGCGTTTTAGTATTTCCGCCGTTGTTCAGCTTCTGTCTGGGTCGCACGCTTTCTGCTTGGCTGATACGATCGACCTATGGCACGTAGTCCAGAAGCTGTAATACGCACGCGCTTTTCTGACGTCACCTGGGAAGCTTGATTCATTACAGTTGTCCTAAAACTGTAACGTGTCGCTCCGTGGTATGCGGCATCTTGTAGATCAGGATCACCACAATCTCCGAATTGTTCACTAACGGTTTTGAACTATTGCTGTTTGATTTCGTTCTTTGAATCCTTCTTATGAACCACGACAGTAAAGCGGTGGAGCAACCGAGTGACTGTAACTTTCACAAAATAAGAGATCGTGGAACGGAATCAAAAGCGGAGGACTAATCATGTTGAACACAAACAGATTTTGGGGGAACTGTCTAGAAATTCACAAATAAGGTGCATCAGTACAGATACAGTGTCCTAGTAAAATCTGTTTAGTTTATATACAAACAGAAGGGAGCCATTGGAAACATGCATATCAAGGTGCAAGGGATGAGAATGGTGCACTCTGACAGTTGAAATTTAGAGGAAGTGTTGACAAACAGACAAAAGCTTCTGAATAAAATACTAGATGAAGACAATTTAGAAATGGGGACAATAGTGAAAGATTTGAGGAATCGGGGATTGATCATGTGTTATGTGGACTTATTAACAGGGATGCATTAATCTCTGTGAGTGGACCATTTACATGTTACAGTGTTGACGAAAACAGACCATCTGGACCGACTGCACCCGCGAGTTTCGTAGTTTTAAGATGACAAAACTTCTCATGGATGACAGGGTCTATGCTAGATAATTTATCGGGGATGTACAGTGACAGAAGATCTTTGGAAGGATATGATAAGGGTAACATTGAGGCTGTCAACGCCAACAGTTTTTTTGTTAGCTGATTGTTTCTCCTGTCCCCTCACAACAATCTGATCCCATAATACCATAACCGCCATTCGTTTCCAACTCCCAGAACTTGCTTTGCTAACAAAGCAGTTAGTCTTTTGATATATATATATATATATATTCTCTCTGTGTAACGGGAAAAGTCGCCTGACAACAGTTGTTTGGTGCATCATAAACGCTTGTTCTTTTTATCTTCTTAGAGTAACGGTAACCCCGAGCATTGGAGCATCACATGTATCCAGATAACGAAATTGTTCGTCAAAAAATTTGGGTGACACTTGTTGGGTTCAAACTTTGAACCCTAGGGACCAAAGCATTCTGGAGACAGACTAAAACCACTGGATCACTAGCAAAAACAACAAAAATAACAATTGAGAGCACTTTGTGGCCCTCTAGAAAACCATATACGGGGTCTGCTACCTGTGAAATCTGGCGTGTTCATCCGTGAATAATCTAATTAATTAATTCGATCATTCGCCTTAAGTGTGGATTGTCGACCGTGTAACGCATGTCTTCCAACCGAACAGTTTGCTCCTAGATCCGCGGTGGGAGGAAGGGAGGGATACAATAGTTCACGATACTGACGAGACTCAATAAGAACAAAACAATTTTCTTGTGCTCTTTTTCGGTTCAGTTTCATATTCCACTTTTTCATGTTGGTATACAACCGTATACAAAAGCCCCTACACTTTGTAGAGCTGTACGAGATTTTACTGTGTTATTCCCATTATTCTGTCAGTGCTTCATAATCGGAACACTCGGTTAGCCAAAGCCGAAAGACAGTGTAGCGGTGTGTGAGATAATACAATTCATTGGAGCTCGGCCGGTCGGTGTCCAGTCAGTTTGGCTTTATGTCCTTGAGGTGTGTCTCATGCATCCAGGATG